GGTAAAAGACAGAACCCTCAAAAGGTTCTGTCGAATTTTTTATCCGTTTTTTGAGACTTTGGACACATTTGGATGCTTTTAGAAATCTACAGAACCTTTTTGAGGGGTTCTGCAAACCTTTTTTTTTTCAGAGCACACCCTCTCAAGAGGAGCAACAGCAAACAAACATGATATTTATAGTCTTTGTTCAATACTTAATCCTAATAGGTGTCATGACGAGTTTCAAGAATTAGGATTGATGTTTATGTCAATAGAATCATATTTAAATCAACGACAAAAATTGATTAAAAGTGTACTTTTTTTGGCGCATATTTTTAGCACCAGTCCATGGAAGTGATTTAATAATCCTGCTCATAATAATGACCATAAATAAAAAAAAATTTTAAGTATAGCATAAGATGTTATATCACAATTAAATTACAATATTAACACAATGCTATCAAAAATAAAATTATCTTATTATGATCCAGAATTACTAACAAATTTAATCCAATATGTTAATAATTCAATTAAACTGCAAACATCACCAATACAACTATATAGGAAATATTTAAATATTGCACGAATCACAAGCGATCTTATACTTATCGCATTAAGGTTTTTAATTGAACAAGCTAAACAAATAGCTGATCGTAAACATGAAGAATTAAATGAATGGAAAAAAATATATAAAAAAACAATTTTTATCAAGTAAACATTGGGGTCTGACATTTGTGAAGCTTTAGAGGATCATATGAACATTATGAGAAAATGGTTTCATCCAGATCTATTTAGAAGAACTAGAGTTATTGCCTGACGACACTCAGAAAGAGTACAGTCTAATAGGCATGTAAATGATTCATGTGTACGAAAATTGAATACGTGAATCGGATGTGTCAAGAGAAATGGCATATTCACGCCATTATTCTTCGGTTATTCTATCAACCACGCCGCTGATTACGTCGACCATGTTATCAACAAGGTGATGAATTAGTAGATACTTACAGCTGCCAATTATCCTCCTCCACATAACAATAATGCAATTATCGGTAATTAGGTTCTTCTGACTTGAAAAACCGGCATCGTTCGTCAAATACAGCACCTTTGATCGCACCAAAAACGTATGGTCATTAACATCGCCATTCAAATGCCCTGTCAACTCGAGAAACTTCCTTAGACTGAAGTCATCCTTCAACTGTTCTAATTTTGTAGGACCAAGACCATCTTGAAAATGACATTGATCATTGGCAACGGTCGACACTGAATCTTAAAAAGTGAAAAATGAAAACATTGACTTGACCAGTAGCACTGTCTATTTTTTCTAAACTATCAATCAAGCTCTTTTGGTTTTTCATGTATTCTTTCCTGACTTCTTAGGCTGAGTAAAAGCGACGGTAAAACTGACTCTAACATGAAATTGATTCTCATCACCAAAAAGGTACCTGGGTTGGGGATTTAGTAAAGGAAATTGACATAAAGTAAACACGTTTTTACACGATGGCTATCATCCTTGAAATTTGTTGATCTCATCAGAATATTGTTGAACACATGTCTGATCCCTCATGCTCTTGTCGCAATCACCAGCATTTTCTTACTTTGTAGAGTGAGAACAGTAGAAGTAGATGATCTTGTCGTTGCTTGCTTTGAAATGGTGTCAAAGCGGACCTCTTCGATAGGTTTTATAGGTGTAGGTAAAGCTGAAATTTCCTAAGCGATACCCATACGTTGAGTGAGAAAGTACACTTGGATTTCCAGTACAAATATAAGTTTACCACGAGTTTAGATATAGAAATGAATATTCTATTAAACCGAGCATGGAATCTTCGCTTAATTCAAATAAGCTGCTGTTACTCTCAATGCTATCTATTTAAAATTACCACGCCATATCAAACGTCTTTATACTGATATCATGTAAGTCAACGACGCAATAGTTATATTGGAGCGTGTCGAACATTTATCAAATGTCGCATTGCGACACTATGACATGGATGATATTGTGAATGGGATCCATAAATGACTCTCGCGAATGAAAAGAGATGCTCTATATGAAATAGGTCCTAGCACGTTGTTCAACTATGACCTGAATGAGTCGAGCGATCAAGCATATGCATGACTTGACAAGAGCATGAATAAGAAATCGAATATATCAGTTAGTCACAAATGTGTCAAGCGAACTCTCATTGTTACTAATGATTTATTGGTTCTGTTTGTTTCGACAGGCAAGATTTCAAAGATTCATTGTTATACTAATCAATTAATTGAACAATTGATCTACAAATAAAAATCAAGATATTTGTAATTGCAGTACCTTTTCTTTAGTAAAAATGTGTGCATAGATTTTCTCTTCATGCATATATCACACTCCACACCGTATTTCATGCTTTGTTAAAGATGTGAGTATAAGTGTGAGTATGCGTGCAACTGCTAGTGTGATTTGAATAAACATAAGACCCATACCGTTAAATACACTAGCACTCACCGACGAAGACACTCACACCCAAATTAAAAATAAAACTATGATGGGTGTTTAAGCTGGCTAATTATGTGAACATAAGAAGCTCGTACGTAACCATATCTTAATGTGTATAAATATAAGATTAAAAATATTTCAGAATGCCAATACTTAATCTTGTTTCGGTTTCCGGAGGATATTAGCTGATAGTCGTAAGAATGATAGTATTTTTATACTTCGATTTAAAAGAATAGAAAAATGAAATTGACCACATTGTGTTTTATGCATTCTTGTTTTTTTAATCTAACAAACATGATAACTGAGAATTGGCACGTAAAGAAAGAAAAAAAAAATAATAGAAGGCAAAGTTTTTTGCAAATTGTAACAATTATAGATTTTGAAGTCTACCTATTTATAACAAAATATAGTAGTTTTGTTAATTATCTTAATTTATTAATCTCAAAAAACAATATATAGTGTATCTCACATATTATATTTTTCTAATGAATTCAGATCTATCGTTTTATTTTCTCTGATTGATAATCTCTTTAAAATGTACAAAGCATAAAATAGTAATATCTTTGAATATTGTCGTATTCAGATAACCACACATTACGTCTGAGAAAGATTTTCAATAAAATATTTTATAGAAAAATATTATTGATCAATAAGTTTAAATAAGTTTCATTTTCATTCGTAACGTATATTTTAATTATGAAACTTCTGGCTGAAAATCGAAATTTGATTTATGTTATTAATTGAAATGATATTTGTGATTAACTTATTTAAATGAAAAGATTAATAGAGAACGCTCTCTGTTCTATTCAAGCAGAGGCTCAATATCCTTTGAAATAATTTAAAACTAATGAAAATGAACTAATCAAATGATGATATAAAAAAAAAACCAAGTTGGTTGAAGGAAAAAAAACGGTGTTTTCAAAAATTAAATATTCTATTTAATTAGATAGATGTGAAGAAAATTTTTTCTCAAGATGAAAGTACATCTTGAGAACTAGGACTTTGTCTTAAGTAAACAAATACACAATTTTATTTTCTATAATAATATTTTAACAATTTAAAAAAAACCAACGTTATAAAGTAATATGAAAATATTTGTCCTTCTAGAAATATGTTTCTATCATAATTATCAATAAACTTAAATTGAACAATGAAAAAACTGGTAAACGCTAAACATTATAAACAAGTTTTTAATCTTATTATTTAACAATCAACATTATGTAAAGATATTACATATAATAGAGCATTAAAGTCATGTATGCATTTATATAATTATAAATATAATATCAAAATTAATGAGCACAGATCATCAAATTCACTTAAAAACTCTTTTATTCGAACATCGTTTATTGATTTGTATAGTAAGTTAAGCATAAATATAATAGAAAACTTAATATTCTTGGTGTCAACAGTGAAACGTCGATCTTGATGACTTTGAATCAGAGATGTTCATCGTGACAGCAGCAAGATTTTTTAAAGATTCCGGTTTTCGTGTCTTAAGATATCTGAAGAATTTGGAGAATGATTTACTTTGATATTTAAATTAGCTAGAGTGTTTTCCTCAATAACTACATTTTATGTTTTATTTTTGCTCTATAAAAACAGGTTTTCATGTTATATAGACATATAAGAACGTTCTTATGGTGTATGCTACTAACAAGTTAAAAGTATGAATATATCCTATTGCAAGTGAAACACATATTTGATAATTGACATCTTTGAATGATATAATCACTTGTATACTTTTCAGCTTTCTTCATTGATAGATCATAGCCTAGTTTTATACATAGATTGCCCGTTTTTTTTTGTATGAGTTAAAAACAGCCCTCAAATATAATTACATTTCTTAACCAGATCGGGTATTGGAATAGGAGTTCTTTTTAGTTGTAAATATTAATTATTTATTCTTGCTGTTTATTTGGTTTATTAACAAGTTACGGTATGGCATAAGTTTAACGTTATAATGATGTGTACAGATATGGAATTAGATGAACTATGCTACTATTATTATCTCTAGTATTATGCCAAGTTATAGATGAAAAATATGTCATATTTTATTTCACTTTTGACCTACATTATGGTTATTAAAAATGATGATGCCAGAAAATTCAAATAAAACTTGGAGACGAAAAACGAAAGAAACAAATGAGATTTATATAGAGTGAAACACTTATTCATGACATCATGCGTACGTTGAAGATGTCCATTGCGGTTGGAAATCTACCGCTATAGCGATGAACAAGTCTGTTTTCAATACAATTGATGAAACAATTCCATAAATTGAATATAAAAATATTTAGAGACTTAATAATCATTACTCCTTAAAAGTAGAGAGAGTTTTTCCTTACAACTAGAAGAATCTGATCACACAAATAGATATTATGAAACCTCAGTATGTTCATAGTATAGCTAAAAAAAGGCGTTTGTTCTTCTTCTAGAGTTACGAAATATCGTTGGGAAGGAATATTCGACCTTATAAAAAACTCAAAGAAAAGAATTTTAATCTGAAATCTTGCTTATAAACAGACCTCGTCATCCTTAAAGTGTACTGAAATTTTCAATCAAAACGGATACTTTCTTGCCGAGATATAGCATGCGAAAAAATCAGTCAAATTTCGAAAAATAGCTCATGAAATTTACTTTTCTTTAATATGTGATATATCAAGAAAGAAATATCTGTTTCGGCTAAAAATTTTAGGGTATTCTAAAGATTGTAAGAGCTATCTATAATCAAAATTTCACACCAGAATTGCTTTCTTTTGATTTTTCCATAAGGCCAAGTATTCCTTTCAAGAAACATTTACTGTATAATGGCATAATGTATAAGTGTATCGATTAAAAAATTATGGAATCGCTTCATAATAAGCGGTGCAAAAGTCTTTGGAAAAATATCAAACTCTGTTAGACCATATTACCGACTTCTGAACCAATCAAATTTTTTTTTATTAGAAAGAGCAATGTCTGAACTACAAATTTTCTAGGAGACCTATTTTTCCAGAACGAATTTGCGAAGGAGGAAAATATAAAAACCAAATACCTCTAAAAAAGTTCTTGCAACGCTTTGGTAACTTGAAAAATCCGTATTTCTCAATTATTTGGAACTACATGTGTCAAAATTGAACAAAAAATACACCGAACGCTAGCGCATCAAAAGCTCTATCGATATCAGCTTTGAAAATTTTTTTTTTTGATCCATTCTTGACTCTCCAATCAAAAAAGTTTCAAACACGAAATTTTTGCAAAAT